GTAAATTGATAGCTGTGAAGGGCAAAGTGCTGCACTTGGAGTTGAGAGGCAGCAGAGCAACATGTGAATATCACCACAGATAGAAGCAGGGTGAGATAACCCACAAGGGCACTTAATGTCCCATACACTGTCCCTTGTCTTGCCCTTGAACTGGTAAGTGCATGGCACAGGGAGCTCTGCCAGTGAAAGGCTTTCTGCACAGCTTCACTGACACCCCTGGCAGTTTTGCTGAACTGGGCTTTGGGCTCCTTAGAGGGGTTTTGTAGGGCATCAGAAGAGGTTGTGTGCTGCTCAGCAAGGAGCATGTGAGGATTTTTACCGCAGAATCAGAATTTTGTGCAAATTGAACATTTTGTCTCGTACTTGATGGAGTGCGAGTCAGCGAAGTACCAAAGTGCTGTAGCTCAGCTAGAAGCACATCGATAGCAAGGGCAGGAGGTACAGAGCACCTTGAAAACCCCTTAGCAAAGAGGCAGGCGTTGAGAAATGGTTCTGAAAAGCCACTTGCGTTGGGTGTGGAGTTGCTGGCATACAGAATATCTGTGTTTTAGTTGTGGAAGGCTTTAGGAGTGCTTCTTTGGACAGCTTCTGCATCTCAGCTGCTTCATGGTCCACAGGCATTATGGATGACCCAGTGACCTGGGCTACAAACCCCTGTGTCAGGGTTGTGGATGTTTCAGTTGGTTTATAGAATTCTTTTGCTTTGAATCTCCTCTTCCCTTGGGTAAATCTGACTTCAGTGAAGTCACTCGTGATTCAAGGCAAGACTGTGGCTGAACCCTAAATAAAAGAACCACGTGAATTGTCAGTGGCATTTCAGCCACTAACAACTCACGTGGTCCTTTGCCATGTTGCCCTTTCTTGACAAATGAGCAGCTTCCCATTGTCTTGCAGTCGTTTGGGAATGTATCACACAATTGGACTGCCAGAAAGTAAATTAATAGCTGCCATGTCTCTTTGTTTATAGGCGCTTGCATTATAAATATGAAATGCTAATATTTCTGCTGGGCAGCGTTTCCAATTAGTTCCTCTCACTGCTTCTGATTTACACATTCCTGTTTTATGTGCCCAGTGTGGGTCTTCTCGTGCCACCCTGTGTTCCCTGGTGTCCTTGCATTGTGGTCTGACAGTCTCTGCCTAATTGGAAACTGTTATGGAACTGACTGGCAAATACCCAACAGACAGGAATATTTACATTTGTGTGTCCTTCAGGCTTATTAATAGATTATAGGAAAGGAAGAAGGAAGCAGGAAGAACATAAAATCATTGCACTGCTTATTCTGTTCTGTCCTCTTGTTCTTTTCACTGTAGGAAGACAATATTATTCAGGCAATACAAGTTCAATCTGTAAGGTTTGCAAAATTCATTCCTGATGCTCAGTGGAGACTGAAATATTGCTCACTGATTAATAGGAAAGATGACAGGACGATGAGTTACTGCATTACTGAAATTAACTCCTTTAAAATTCAATCCAGCCCTGTTAGATGTTTTGTAGCACACAGAAGTTATTCCAGAGTCTGAAGATGACTCTTGCAGGAAGGAAAGGGACAAAAGATGAAAGCAAATGAATGCACAGAATGAACCTGGAGAACTGGGATGGTTTCAAAGACTCCTGTGAATTGGTAGCTGAGGGGGCAGGAGCAGGGTACCCCTTCTCCTGTGGAGCTCTCCTCATCCTTCAGTATCTCCTCTCTTTTAATGGCCCTTTTTTCCAGCCTACATATCATGGTTTCAGTTGTCTGCTGCAGGGAATTCAGTGGAGGATTTAGGACTGGCTACGCAGGATAACTGACATCTGAGTCTGGTGTACTGGGCAGGCATTAAGGTTGATGTGTGACACCAATTAATGTTGGCCTGAGTCTGCAAAGGGCCTGAGAGCTGTGCTGGGTTAATATTGGACTTAATGATCTTCAAGGTCTTTTCCAAATGAAACAATTCTATAATTCAAGGAAATCATATCTGAGACAAAAGATTGGTTTAGTTTCAGTGGCTACTAATTTGAATGTCAAGGAGTGGTGTTTGGAAGACCAGAATGTGTAACTTTTTTCTTATCAAAAGGGAATAAGAACAGAGGAATCATCTGTATTTTCCTTGAAATTCAGAGAAGGGTTGTTGGAAGGCAAAAGTTATATTTCCATGAAAATCTGCAGCCTGAAGCTGTGTCTAAATAATCTTTAAAGCATAGAAGTGATGCACACTCTTGCTCACTCAGCCTGTTTTTAAATAGTCTGCTTAGGGTTTGCAAAGCAAAAGCAAGATTTTAAACTAATTTTCGCTGTAACCCTGGGGTTTGACCAGAGTTAGTGTCCTGGTAACACAGGGCAGTGCTGCAGTGGAGAATTTGCAATCCTCTTCTCCCAAGGGAGGGAAATTCAGCTTTCTGAAGCTGAGTGAACCATGAGTTCACAGCAGCAGGGACAGCCAGCCTCTGCCTAGCACATTGCTCTCTGCTTGGGTTTCCCCGTTTTTGGCCTGATGCTGCATCCACTTTGGTGCAGAGCCCCACTTTGGGGGCCACAGTGGGGCTGAAGGGTCAGCACACTCTGAAATGCTCTGGGTCAAGCCTTGCTCTGGCTGCAGCATCCCTGGAAAGAGGTTCAGCACACAGCTGGGGTTCAGCATGAATGGTGAGATGCAGCGCTCTCCTCAAGGTCATGACTGCCTCTGTGAGGCCAAATGCTCCTTGCTGTTGCCTTGGGACACAAAGTGCCCTTCTCCTGCAGCCCCAGTGCCCACCACGGGCAGCAGAGCTGGGAATGGCTGCCCGTGCTGGCTTTTGGAGGAATTTATTCCTTGGACTTTTATTTACATTGATGCTGATCCCCTCGCTTCTTAGCAGTGACAATGACTTGAAAATTCCCTTTTACTTCCTTCACATACTTCCAGTTGTTGAGGTTTCTTTTCTCTTTATCCCTGTACTGATCTGAATTCCTTGCATCCTCCTCAGTCTACCTGGCATCTGGAAGGGAGAGATAACTGAATAGAAGATGCCAAGGCTTAAGAAGACACACAGCTTTCAATTGGATTTACAATGCCTTTGTTACAGTAGTGTGGCCAAAATAACAACAACCAAAAAAAAAAAAAAAAAAACCAAAAAAAAAAAACCACGTAAATAGCATTCTCCATTTGCTGATGCAGTTTCTGAGGATCTGAGCAGTCTGGGACGTGAAGTGCCCAGATAATAGGTGCTTTAAATTCCCATGGGATGCCCGTAGCTTTTATTTTATAGGGCTTAGGCTGCAAGATTGAGTGCAAAATTGCTAATTCAGAAAGACCTGCTGAAGATGAAACGATCTCCTGAAATGTGATCTTCAATCCTGTAGGTCATTTGCTGCTGTTCCCTTCCTGGTATTTTAGCCTCCAAATAGGAGAAGCAAAAGCACTTCTGCAATTTCAAGTGTGAATATTTGAGATGTCTAGAGAAAAAAAAAAATCTTTTTTTATTATTTTACTGTCTCTTGGATGTGACTGCAGCTATTAGGATGATTTTTATACCACTGCTGAGTAGGTCATTGGTAGGCACTGTGTTAAAGCTTTGAGTTAAAGCAATAGCTGTGAGTCTGTGCCTCTTCTGGCAGCCTTAGGTCCCTTTCCAGGTTTGGAGAGGATGGGTATGGGAGCAGGAGGTCCCAGCCACGGAAGAACCTGAATCAGTTCTGGTTAAGGGAGTTTGCTGCTACATGCAATTCCTAAATCAAATTGTCTGCTTGCTGTTTCAACAATGATAAAAATATCAAACGAGTTGAAAGCACTGAGGAGAAAAGATCAGGCCAGCAAGTGAGTGATAAGAGGCAGAGCTTTTATCAACTCATTGAGACAGGAGCTGCTGGAGGCAATGGCTCCTGGCTCTACAGCAGCAGTTCTACCACTGATTTTGGCAGGAGCCAGGTGATGCTGCCAGCACAGCAATGCCATGTCGTGCATCTAGTGACTGGTCTGCTCATCCCTGCAGTGAAATGATTTTGGTGACTTGATTCACCTTCCTATTGCTAAATGCCAGATAACTGGAGGAGGGGGCTGTCTGGCTGTTTCCTGAACAAGCCAGTGACTGGGAATAGCAGGAGTTAGTTTGCTCTGATAGGGATGCCTGAGAGTTTCCTATTTGCAGTTCCATCCCACCCTGTCCATATAGGCACCAAGTCACTCCTAGTGACCTTGGAAGAGAGAGGTGATTAAGGCACCAACCATTCAGAAGAGGCAGCAAAGTTATTGCTGTGTCCCCTGCAGCTGGGGTGAGATGTAAAGGAAGACTGAGATTCTCCCATAGGAAGAGCTCTCTCTAAGTTCAGGGCAGAGCTGCAGTAGGCTACAGAGGGCAGGGCTGAAATTCTTACTGATTTAAGTACTTGTCAGACATTGGCAAGAATATTTTGGCATTAGGGCTGAGTCAGTTCAGTGTGGGGAGATAGATCAGATGCTTTTTAAGGGTGTGTGTCCCCAGCCTTGTCCCTGTGATCTTGTGGGAAGGGGTGGGAAATACACATGTACCCCACATTCACCTGGCATTAAAGTAGTTACCATCTCCAGCTTGGTAAGTATTTCACCAAAAGTGGGCTGTTGATTGTGCATGTGGTGAAGTACTTTTGAAAATGTACCAGAGCACCCCCTGCCAAGCTCCAGCAGCATTGCTGGGACTGGAGTTAGTGTGGGACAGCTGGATTCTTAGTGGTGCCTTTAATAGTCTTCAGTGGTGGTCCAAGCAGGTTCTGTTATTGCTGTAATCCACTATCTGAAATTACTTTATTTTGGTGCCTCAGAATCAAGTATCAGATAATTTTGTCAGATTCTGCTGCAAAAGCAGCTGAATCAATAGAGTTGTTTCTTCTTTGCAAGTTAACAGCTCTATCCAAGTCATCCTACTGGAATGAAAGGTCATTGAGGTACAAAGTACTATTAATTATTGAGTGCTACTCTTAGAGTCATAGAACACAGCAGTTTTTCTTTTGCTGTGGGCATGGCGCTTAAAATGCCCTGTGCTGAGACAGTTTCTTTTCCTGCAGGATTATTTCCACCAGCTCCTCTGCACCACTGAAAGGGAAGTTCATTGAGCCAATTTGGGCCATTGGTGCCCGAGCCATCCTGGACTTCCCTGGCCAGCTGGACTTCAGTCTGTTGGGTCAAGCGCAGCACCCAGAAGACTCTGCTGGTTGGAAACCAGGGCAGCTGTTACCAGCTGAGCACCCAGAGGTGAGGCAGCTCAGCTTTTGTTGTGCAAAACACCTTTGGGTGATAACAGAGTTGGTAAAGAGCAACAAAAGGAGGCAGAGCATGGGAGCTGCTGCCCTGCAGCCCTGGCTGGAAATGGGCAGGACAGTGTGGGGTTTGCTCCTGCTTCTCATGTTTTAAGCAGGATGCAGCCTTTGAACTTTCTCTGTCCCAGATTTCCTGGAGGGTGCTGGAACATGTTAGTAGCTGGCTTGCACCCTCCTGAGCACAAGCACCTTCTGAAATGGTTACCACTGCCAGCCAAGGAGACCTGTTCTCTGGGAGGGCACAGGCACGTGGCTTCCCATGGCCCTCTCATCAGATGCCCCATGTGAGCTGTGCTGTGGACAGCCTGTGCTGCTCCTGTTAGTCAAATTTTATCTGATTTCCTTTGTCATTTGAGGGCATCAGTCATCTCTTCTGTTTGAACCTTTGAATTTAAGGTTTAAATTTCAAACAGATTATTTAAATTTTCGAATAGAAGCAGCATCTTTATTCTAATTAAATCACCCCTACTTTCACTCAGATTTCTTTCTAAGTACTCTGAAGTTCCTGTGTTTCCGCTCCTTGTTTTGTTTTGCGTTAAATATTTGTCAAAATGTCATCATTAATTCTTCAGTGGGAACTTTCTTAAAGGTTGAGCTCCTCTAATGCCTGTTCATCTACCATCTGCCCATTGGTATATGCACAGGTGTATAGGAAATATGTGAAATTTGGGGAACATGTGAAAAACAATTGGGCTGATTTAGAAAGTCAAATCACAGAATAACTTTTGGAAGGAACCTCTGAGCAAACACACTGCTCAAAATAAGACCAGTGTCTGGGGCTTACAAGGTACCATTGGGAGATTTGGATCTGTAAAAATTTAGATGTCGTACAAGAAAGCAAACATACAAAAGGATATAGTTTAAAATGTAGAAGAAAACAAGCTATTAAAAAACCATCAAACCTTATCTTTTCTGCCTGTCGGGAGCAGTAGTGATTCATGGAAAGGGTAGATCTAATGGGACGAGAATTATCTTAAGGAACAGCTCACAATTAATGGATGAGAGGCCAAAGTTTTGCCTGGCAGCTCCATCTCTTGGCAGTGGTTTTCATTTGGCTATTACAGTGTGTCAGGGATGTCTCCTTCACAGCTCTTCTATCTGTGGGCTCAGGGAACAGATCATGATGTTGGCTGAAGTTCAGAAGAGTTAAGTTAAACTGTGAAACTTGTGTCTTTGGGTCTTGGAGAGCCAGGCCTGTGGGAGAGGTAGTGAGTTCCTGCTACAGCAGTAACAGAGGTGTCTGGTGGGTACAGCCTGCGGTGAGATGTAGGAGACACAGGGACTGATTTGCACTCAGTTTCTCAATCCTGAGAACTAAGTCCTGAACTTGGCTGCACCCTCTTCTTCTGATAATCTGAAAAAATATATATTCTTTCTCAGATTATCCTCTGATGTCACCCCCTGGAGTGTTATGTGCATCCTGCCATCTGAGGGCAGAAATATGTAGACGGGGGGCAGGAGTAGGAAGGGAATGGGATGGAACACAGCGAGGCTGTGAATTCCTGGCTATAATTCCCCTTAACTTCCCCCATAGTTTCTCAGTTCCAGCAAAATATCTGTAAAAGAATAGGAAAAATAATTCCATGTCTTTCCCACACCAGACAGTGATCCCCTCAGGCCTCAGCAGAGACCTCCAGCAATCCTGGCACCACTGCTGGGGCAGACACAGGAGTAGAGTAATCCAGCTCTGGGGCTGTGGGACTTTGTCTTTCCTCCCCTCTCTGCAAAGTCTCAGGTCCAGCACATAAACAGGGCTGGCCCAAGGCTTCTCCACTAGCCAGTAGTGATGTTCTCACTGGTGGTAATGGGAACAGGTCAGGCCTAATTGCAGCAATAGTTCCTTAATGAGTAGAAACTGCAGCATTTTCATCAGCTGTCACTACTGACACGTATAAAGTTCAGCTTGCCCACGGCTCCAGTTGTTCTCATTATTTGTGTCTGTGTTGCTCTAATCATCACCAAACTCCACAGAGTTTTTAAGGTGAAAAATTTGCCACCAGTAAAGCACCTAAGACCAGGAACTTTTGTTTTCTCAGTGGGGCCGTACAAGAGCCCAAAGCCCAGCAGCTCAAGTGAGAATGTGTTTCACTTCAGCTCTCCCTAAGCATTAAAGCACTGAATTCTGTGTCACAGCCAATAATTGTTTACCTGGGGACAAATCCTAACTGCTCCTGCTAAATTCAAAGCGCACCAAAACATTTTCATCATTATTTCCAAAATAATGCATGGAGCATGTCTGGTGGGCCAAGCAAACAGTTGCCAGCTTGGATGACATCCCAGAGTCCCAGACTGCATCACTGGTGAATACACAGAAACCTCCTGTGCAGCTCCCTTGACGTGATCCTGGTAATGGTGCTTCATTTAACTGGGATTGAATTCTTCGGGCTGTAAATGGGATCCTCCTTTTGGGTCTTGTTTCCATGTCACTGTATTGTTCTAATCTGCATTTGCACTCATTCAGAGTTTTAATTGTGCCTCCTCTTAGAGCAGCTTTCATTGAAATGCTGATAAAATATGCCCTTTCGCAGGCTAAAATGGAATTCAAGGTAAAAAGCCCCAAACAACCACACTGCAAATTAAACAATAATTATTCTTTGGTCTTCAAAACTTTTATTCTCCCTGTCTGATTCCTAGGCTGTAATCTCACAGGACAGGTAGTGCCCTGACATTTGCATCCCTTAAGGTGATGTTTATATGTGGCAGGAAAATAGAGATTCCTGAGGCAGTCAGTGTCAAGTTGTGCATGCAAATAGCTCTTAACCCTCTCTGTGCTCTTCACAAACCATCCTCAGATGGGATTGCTGGCAGTTGGACCCTTGAGCCTCATTGCAGAGAACTGGGGGAAAATGCAGAGGCGGGGGGAAAAAACCTGACATAATCTCTGATGAAAATGAGGCATGAGATCACAGGAAAAAATAAAGCATATTTTAAAATGGCTAATTAGGGAGCTGATGTGAAGCTCTTCAGTCACCTGTGGAATGGCAGTGAGTTCTATGGGATGTATTAGAGTCACTGGGGCTTGGGGAAGATGATGAGTAACTACAGGCCTGGGCGTGCTTAGCTGGCAGCAGGGGAAGCTGTAGTAGAGGCTACACAGCATTGCAAATGGGCCAAGGGGAATTGTCAGCTTGTTAGTGAGTGTTCAGCTGCTGTGCAGAGCAGCATGGGGTTGCCAGCTGAATATAAGTGTGTTGTGATGCTGAATCCCTTTCTGCAGTTAAAGCTGATGCTGGGTTTGGCTGAATTAGCTTCCTTAGGTATGTGAGGCCATCTGTGCAAGGGCTTGGTGGTGTGTTAGTGGTCAATGTACACGTGCAGGGAACTCCCAGCCCTGGCTGATTACTGCTGTTTGAGGCTGAACAAGGAACTGTAGTATGGATGTGCCAGCACCTGCAAACATCTCAGCTACCCACCAGGGTAAAGCATCTGAGAAAACTACTGCCTTGCTCTGGTCTCATCTGTGCTTTTGTGTAGATGTTGCAGAAAACAGACATCTTTTCATAGCTCTGTTCTTTCTCCTTAAGAACCCCCTTCCTACCAGTTGTCATCTGTCTGGCAAGGCTGGCATTCAATCGGTGGTTTCCAAGAACTTGTTTGAGAAATGAAATGAAATGAAAAGAAAATCCTATTGATTTAGTCTCTAGATCAAGCCTTTTTCTTTTTTTCTTTTTTTTTTTTTTCCTTTGTAAATCCCTTGGTGGATGTGGATAGGCAGCAGGGTTTAACTGAGGCTTAGCTCTTGTCGCCTCGCATTTTATATTCCTGAGATCACTCAAACAAGTTCCTGAGTGCTTTCCATTTATATTGACTTCAGCCAGAAAGGAGGATGTTCAATACTTGCCTAAGCAACTCACTACCACATTAAGTATTTATCTGAGTCACCCTTGTGTTGTGCAGGACACCAGGGTGGGAATAACAAAACCCTTTTTGGGTTGAAATCAGCCTTGTGTGAGTGTTTGAGGGGGCTCTGATGCTGCTGTGAGCAGCATTAAATTACTATTGAGCCAAATTCATGGCAGCAGACCCTGAGCTGCCATTGGCCACCACTGTGTTGTCCATCTTCATGCAACTCTTCATTCATCCAGACAGACTGGGAGCAGCTTCTTCTAAGTGCTCAGAGTTGGGGAAACTTTCTGCTTCCCAAGGAGCAGCCTCTTTTGAGTCCAGAGCTTCACTGTGGTGCACCAACTGATGTAATCTTTTCCATTTGTGTTTGGTGCTGGCAGCTGGTAGGAATTTATTGTATCCTGTGAGTTCTAAAAGATCTGGTTTCCTGTGTTACTTTAATGTGTAAGCCAGATTGATGCTGCAGTTATTACAAGACCAAGCTTTGCCTTGGACTATCAGGAATTTTAAAACTTTGCAGAGGGATTTTTCTTTCTGCCAGTCACAGGTGGCTGTTGTTCCTTCTGCTTTTTCTTCACTTGTGATAATTCCCAGCAGCACAGTTGTTTCCTGTTGAACTTTTATGTCCATGTATGTTTGCTTCAAAGTGAGTTGAGGACTCGGTTATTGTAGGCAAAAAAAAAAGGTGTAAATAGCAGTTTGTGCAATTATATGTTGATTTTGTGTCTTAATAGTTGCAGTGCTGCCACAGATGCACGATTGGTATCTAATGCTTTATCCAGCTGATTGGTTATAGGCTTTTATATTTCCAATTAATTAGCTTGATGGGTGAGCCTAATTGGTCTCCGAAGTGCTCATTTCTGTCAAAACAGCTAATAGGTAACAACTGCTTCCTGCCTTTGTTGCCCTTGTCTAGAACCGCTTGTAGTAATGATTTTTATACTATTTTAGATAAGGTTATTCTGCTGCTTGCAGACAGAGTATGGCCTTTGCCCTCTCACCAGGACTCAGTGTTTCAAGACAGATAGTCTGTCATTCTGAGGGTACATGAAGGGGAATAAAGTTTGTGCTTCATTTGCTCTAGGTTTTTTTGCACAGCTTTATAGCTCCACAACTCCCTTCTGACAAAATCCCTGCTAAAGCAACCTGCAGAGT